TCAACTTCATAAACATTCAACGAACAATCAACAACCTCTGAAAGAAGTGTAACCATCAACTGAAACGAGTATCTCGAAGGAGGCAGCCAGTTATTGACCAAAAGAAGGAAGACCACCAAAGGATTTGGATAATTTGGATACTGTTTGAAGAGAACTTAGGAACTATTCGAAGGAAGCAGCTGCTTATTGACCAAAAGAAGGAAGACCACCGAAGGATTTGGATAAGTAGATCCTGTTAGAAGGAGAAATTCCCAGTATTATTTGAATTATTATTTTAGAGAATCATTAAACTTGCCCTGGTAAAGAGACCAGAGACCATAGTATTATTTGTTTCTTTTTCAGAGCAACCATTAGTTTAGTTATCAGAGGAGCGTTAAGTAAGGAAAACTAGGAAAATCAATCACAATCAACATGAGTCTACCTGTTCAGTACACCAGATTTGGAAGACGGATTTGCACCATCAACCCCTTTTAGGAAACGAATCTTTGACAGACCTTCAGGATCAACTTCAGCTTTTAATTTGAATTCGGAACTACGATGCCACTTGTATACCAAAAGTCAATGGCCAACTCAAATCCTTGCGGAACCTAGCCTCTTCTATGATGCAAATCATTTTATGACGTTTCATAAGCAATTTCTTGGACAAATTTTGTGGATGGAAGAATCAACGATGGTGTGCGGAACAGCTGGATTGATTTATGCGGAAGAATGAACAATGGAACGGATGACAATGTTAACAATTGAACAATTGGTGCCAATCAACGATGGAAATGAAGACGTACCCACAACACTGGATGTACACGAGGAATGTGAATGGTATTAACTCTGACGGATGAAGATCAAAAACTGGTGGGAATCAAAATTTGTAAGAATCAAAGCCTCCTAGGCATGAGGAAAAACTGCATCAACCAACACTCACTTTAAAAGTCACATTCCCTTAAATAAGAAAAATAAAAACAAAATAAAATGAAGATCATCAGCACAATTTTAAAATTAGTTATACGTATTTTTTGAATAATTCAAGTTCTACTAAATAGTCACACAGAAGAAATTGCCACAAATCAGCCTAATTCAACAAGATACTCGTATTGGAAAAAGAATTCTCAAGAACTTTGAATTTGGACGACTCACAATTTCAACCAATTGAAAAGACACCTTCAAGAAATCTGGACTTCGAAATCAAATAATCGAGCTCATGGAAAACTAAATTAAAGGAGCATTAAATAATTGTTGAAAATTTGTCTTAATAATTTTAAAAAAAAAAAAGTTGGGGGAGGAGCTCACATTCCTTTATTAATCACTCATTTAAAACCCTTCCTCCCTTACATAGCTCTTATATCCCTTAATTAATAATCAAAATGCTTGCTTAATATCTAAAAAATCTTTTAAATAGCAAAAATTAATTAGCTAAATCCTCAACTTACAGAAAATAACCAAATAAAAGACTTTCAGTAGACATAAATGTTTGAAGTTGGGGGAGGAAACTTTCATACTTTACTTACATTAACACTATCATCAATTTAACCCACCTCATTATCCTTAAGTATCTCCTCCAAAACACACCTTTTTTATTTTTATTTTTATTATACCCTGTTTTTATGGTCATTTTTTTTTATCAGTTTATTTAGTATCTCAAAGTAATTTCTGGATTGAAGCTCTCTCATCGTTTCTCTACTATCTAAAAACTCTTTTCTGGATCAAATTTCTATATCAGTTTTTTATCATCTCAAAGTCTTTTCTTGATTAGTTTTTTTTATATATCAGTTTCTTTATTATCTCAGTCTTTTGTGGATTGAATTTCTCTATCAGTTTTATTTATCATCTCTCACTATTCTCTGGACTGCATTTCTTTTTCAAATTCTTTCTGGATTGAAGTTCTCTTGTAGTTTCTCTATTATCTAAAAACTTGTTTCTGGATCAAATTTCTTTATCAGTTTCTTTATTATCTCAAAGTCTTTTGGATCAATTCCTTACTCTTTATCAATTTCTTACTTCATATCAATTTTTTTATCTCAAACTCTTTTCTGGATGCAGTGTCTGTTTCATTTCTTCTTTATTATCTCATATCACTGCCTGGGTTTATTTTTTCAATAAATCAATTTTCTCGATCAATTACTTATCATCTTCATCAGTTTTTTTTAAAAGTTAAAAGTTAGTTGGGGGAGGAATATTTCATACTTGACTCACATTTTCACTCTCTTCAATTTTTTCTCTTTTCCTTACCTCTACAATTTTCAGCCAAGAGACACTCATCTCTTCATCTCTCTGCTCAATTTCTCTTTATTCTCTGAATCATTCAAATCACTTACTTTTGTTTAATCACTTACTCTTAGACTCACTTCAAGTCCATTATCTTGAAGGTTGAGGACAACCTCATAAGTTGGGGGAGGGGTACAGTACTCATCATCTTACTTGGATTTTTTTTTTTTTAAAAAAAAAAAAAAAAAAAAAAAAAAAAAAAAAATCTTTCATTTTTTTCCTTTATTTTCTCTTGCCGGGACATTAGATTATATCAACCAGGTATTCCTGGGATAGAGTAGGAGCAATCACAATTTTATCCTGACTGAATGAAGGTCTTGAACTGGATGCGACTCGGTCGAAGCCTCTGGATTTTTTTTCTCGGACCAATGATGTAGCTCAAGGACAGTGAGAAGGACAATCAGTCAATATCGATGAGCTTTAGGACAACAGTGGAATAGTGGTATAGAAGAAACCGGTATAATCAAGTACTTTTGCGCTATCAGATTGAAATTTACTCGGACCAACGACTAGGACCACGTCTGGATGTTTGCGATTCAATCTAGGAGCTTCCACACAGAAACGATAACCAAGGCGGAAGCACAACAATAAGCATGATCAAGGAGGAGGAGCTGATGAGGAGGAAAAGAAACCGACAACGAGTTGGTGGTATTTATAAGAAAATGAGGACCCCCTCGACTTTAACCTGATGACACTGAGACTTCTCGACAATATCCATTGATGCGACTTCATCGGCAATAAACTTCCTTTTCGAACGATCGAGGACCATCTTGCATCCTTTATTCAAAATGACGAGGTCTTGAATACAAAAGAGAAGCGACACGAATCCAGGATTGATTAGGCTAAAACATTGACTGCTACTTAACAAACAAAGGAAGGAGGATCGAAAACGATCGTCAGCTAAGAGGCTACACGAGACTAACCAAAAATAAAAGGAAGAAGAACGGAAAACAAAAAAAGGAAACTCACCTAGGATGGTGAAGCTATCCGCAAACTCGCCGCGGAGCTAGTAGAGAACCGATCGATAACTCTCTGACAAGAAGATAGTTTTTTTAGATTATTTAATTTGAAATTAGCTAAAAAAAAAAAAAACTAGAAACTAGAAACTAGGAATTGTGACACTTACCTGCGGGGATGGATAATCGGATCGTCAATAGTCGGAATCGTCGAGGATAGTCGGAAGTCGAAGGGTTGAGGAGCTGAGGGAGTTTGGACGGAGAGGACCCACGGAGAGGAACTAGCGGAGTTCCAAGACCGATCGGGCCCTGTCACAAGCTGTGACAGGGCAGACAGGGCAGGGAAAGTCAAGACCAGCGCGACCCGAACCATGTAGCATCCAAATCATTCAGCTTCCAAATCCACCATAGTCAAGACAGTAGGCTGCAACTGGTCAAACTGCTGCGGACCAGAGTTTGAGCCCCACCTTGAGTCAACTTTGGATAACTTAACCCATCTGCACCTACTGTGTGCACCCAATCTTTTTGAGGTCATAAAAATAAAACCGAGAAAAACATGGTTTTTTTTTTTTATGCTCTACTTTATAAAAAATTCCATAAGTAAAAACATTACATAACTCAGAAAAATCATAGTTTAAATTGGGTTCAAAAACCCTCATCTGGCCCAATTTCTACTAAGATTAAGTCAAAAACACCTTGGAATTTTTTTACTGTTATCACCTTAAGGATAAAACTGAGTCCAAACAACTAAATAATCGAACTCACAACCTAGTATGGCGTCAAATTACCATCTCATCAAACTCAAAGAAGACACTGCACAAATCAACTGCACCACCAGCTACCCTTGGACAGATCAAGTAAAACTCTGAAACAAATCAACACTACGTAACAAAATCTCATCAATTCTTCACCAATCAAAACTCCACGGATGACTTCACCAAATACTCAACACGCTTCAAGATAAATCCCAACAATACACTGCCAAAATTATTCTTTTTTAGTTGTAATATTAGCTCCAAAACACAGTCAGAATCAGAATTGACTGGGGACAGCCAATAAGTTGGGGGAGGATGTGGTAAATAATACTGTGTTTCTACGCAGAAAATATAAAAATTTCTTATTATCTTTTTATTCATTCAAGATATGGTCAAATTGACATCAAAAATGGAATCCTCAGGTAAAATAACCCCTAGTCACCCACTACAACCATACCCTTATCTCTTATAGTTTAGAAGTTGCACAGATTTCAACCTGTCACGGGATATTTCTTGGATTCTTCACTCTAGCCATAGTCATTATGAATACAGGATGCATATTGCATACTGGATTCCTTTGTAGTAAATTGAATACCTTTACGTTGTTTTGAAGCCCTTTGTATTAGTGATATTGCATGTATGCATCCCTTTGATCATACATATGCGTCCCTTTATTCATTCATATGCATCCCTTTGTAGTAGTATCTTTCAGCCTGTACCCTGGGGCCAAAATCCCTCACATTTGTCTATATAAGGAGGCCTCTGCTTGCCAGTTGTTCCCTCCATCATCCCACCAGGGGTCCATCATCCCACCAGTGGACCAGATCATCTCAACCACCCTTATAAATAAATCCACCTTATATATTATTTCATAACTACGAGTCATAGCCACAATACAATTTCAGAATTATATACATTGAAATACAGAGTTAACAATTTCATCATCATCATAAACCAAAAGTGCCCTGAACCATATTCATCAACAACAACTTCATCAATATAACCAACAGTCAACAACATCTTTATACCCTCACACATATCAATCAGCAGCTTCATCTCGAACTTATCCCTATCACTATATATAAAATTGCCAAGCTAAGCTTGGTGGTCTTGTTATTCTGATAGTATAGAAGGGCAGAGCTTGCAACTCCAACATACCCTTCTCCATTCAGCAAAAGGGTTTCACAACCACTTTTGAGTCTTACAACGCTAGTTTATAAAATCAAGCTGTTAAAATAGTTTGCCAGTCAAGTAACGCGGGATGTGTCGATTTATCTTACAGCAATCATATTCCAATCTGGGCTGTATGAACAACCCCGCAATGGCTTCAATGATCTCTTCTTCCTTGTGTGAATGTTTAGACTAAAAGGATGTATTTCATAAGTACCAGTCAAAAGAAATACATCATAATAAATAGAAAGAAATAAGAAATAGTAGTCACCTAAAAGCAGTAGGTGGCTAATAAGAAAGAACAACAATGTACTATGATAGATAACAAAAAGATCAAGAGAAATCTAACAAAAGAGGATAGGTCAATATCAGGACAGTGACGAGAGAAGACCAACTGAAACCTACTATGATCTGAGAGAAGATTTCAGAGAGGAGGGGATTGGTGAGTTTGTCGAATAGAAGGGATTTGTCGATATGAGAATCGAAGCAGTTGATGAAGTCAGTTGTTGTCAGAGAAGGAGAACAACGATAAGAGTAAGTGGATAGGTGATGTAATGTAGAAGGATCGATAAGTCGAAGGGAAGTATCTGGATTACTGGATGATGTGAAGGAGGAGTTATGAAGGATGAGGAACGGAATCTGGAGGGAAGAAAGAGATCCTGAGGAATCAATTCTGAGGGGAGGAGGATACGAGATTATAAGGATAAATTGAGGAAGTCCAAGCGTGATGATGTCAGCGAGTCCAAGCGTAGTGATGTCATTGTGAGGGCTTGAGTATTTCGATCTTGAGAGATAAGGATGGCCTAAGATTTCAGGAAAGGCATGAGCATTGAGCTTAGACATCAACACCCCCCCTTCCCTCAAGGCAAAATAGCCCTAGGGCTAGTAAGGACCTGGCTAATGCAGGACGCGGGACCGCTTTTGTAAGAAAGTCAGCTAACATTTCGTTCGTTGGAGTATATTGAAGAATAATTTTTCCGTTCTTGATTACATCCCGAATGAAATGCAGTTGGATTTCGACATGTTTCATTCGCTTTGAGTTAGAATTGGCATCAAAGTTGGCAACTGCAATGCATCCCTGATTGTCTTCATGAACCACAGTGGGAAGGAGAGAATCACCCAGGCCAATCTCAATAATCAACTGTCGGATCCATAATATCTCGCACGAGAAATCTGTGAGTGCTCGGTATTTGGCTTCGCACGAGGAAAGGGAGACTACAGGTTGTTTCTTGGTCTGCCAGCCTATCAAGTTATTATTGAAAAGTGATAGGTAACTCGTCACCGATCGACGCGTTTCCGGACAGTTGCCCCAATCAGCGTCCGTGTAGCCCTCAAGATCGCTGATAGAATCATGCTGATAGATAAGAGCATGATCCGGGGTACCGGCCAGATAACGCAGCACGTGCGTGAAAGCTTCCCAATGAGTTATTCCAGGAGCTTCAAGGAATTGCGATAACTGACTGACCGCATGTGCGATGTCAGGTTGAGTGGCTGAGCTCAAGTAACTCAAGGCCCCTACGGCGCTTTGATAATTGACTCCAAGAGAATTGAAGCGATCCACTTCTTCTGTGGTAGCGCAATCGAGTTGCGTGTTTGGAACCAACAGAGTTGCAACGGGCCTACAGGATGTCATTCCATAAAGCAAAAGGATGGAGTTGACATAATGGAGCTGAGAGAGGACAATCACCGATGGTTCATGTAGGATTTTTATCCCAAGTAGCAAATCCGCTCGTCCCATATCTTTCATGTTGAATTCTTTTTTGATTTGGGACTTGAAATTAGAGATGTTTTTACCAAACACAGCAATGTCATCCACGTGAATGAAAAGCCATACTGGATCAGTGCCCAAGTGGTAGAAAACACAAGGATCGGCGACGGAGACTGAGAAACCAATTGTTAGCAACCATTTGGAGAGACGATTGTACCATGCTAATGGCGCCTGCTTAAGACCATAAATGGCCTTGTTTAACTTCAGGCATACTTTTTTCCTGTCAAGAGAAACACCCTGAGGAATCGAGAGGTAGACATCTTCATTCAATTCAGCATTCAGGAAAGCTGTTTTTACATCAAGTTGTTGAAAGTCTAACCCATTAGCAGCGGCAAATGAGATTAAGGCCCGCAATGAGTTCAGTCGACCAGTCAGCGCAAAGGTCTTTGAGAAATCAACACCATGGGTTTGAGAGAATCCTTGGGCGCACAACCTGGCCTTAAAAGTGGTATCACCATCACCATTCTTCTTCCTGAATACCCAAGTCGTACCAACCGTCTTGATATCGCGAGTCAGAGGAACAACATCCCAGACTTTTAAAGCTGCCATTGCGTCCAATTCCTTCTTAATAGCGCCTTCCCAGAACTTTGCCTCGGCACAATTGAGTGCACAATGGTAGTGAGCAGGGATATTGAGGTTGGCAGAAGTGTGAAAAGCTCTTGGTTTTCGAATTCGACGAGTAGATAATATGTTTGAGTCGGAGATGTCTCCAATTATCAAATTCTTACTGGGTCCCTCCAAATGAGGTACAGGGGGTACAGTTTGTGCTTCATTTGGTAGGTTTTGGGAGGAGGACAATGATGAGTTGTCCAATGGAGTGTCAGCTCTGGTCTCTTATGTGACCTAGAGTTGATGGGATAAAGGGTCACACTATAGCCAAAGAGTGGCCAGTGGAAATAAGTCCAACTCAACACTGGTACAGTGGAGGGACTGGCTCCTTATAATAATAAGGGACAGCTGTGGAATGAGCCTCACAGGCTTAAGATAATAAGAAGAATAGAGTTGTACAGTCACCTCCTTCTTAACCCATATAGCCATTAACCCATAATTTGATTAACCCATGGCAAATCCAGTCCACGGATTTGGTGGGCGGGGAAATCAGTGCTTATCCCATAAGTCTCTCTAGCGCTGTAACCCATACCATTCTTGAGAAAAAAATCGAATGTTTATGGGTTAAGAGGTACTTTTTCCTGGAACTTTTTTTAGCTTTTTCATTCAACAGAAACATCAATTTTTGCAAATTGAACTCAATTTTTTTCCCACCAGTTGTTCTACCACATCAATCATTTTGCTTTGTGCTGAAAAGAGTTGACAGCTTTGATCCCTGAGGAACCGTCTGCCCTTTTATGTATTCTTTTGAAAATTTTCCACCTGATTACGCTTTTCATCCTTACATTCTTGAATGCAATGGAGCCTTTTCCAATCCCCAAATATGTCTTCCGGAACGGCGATATCTTATCATTTCGATTGTCAAACACCACCAATAAGTCCGAGACACTTTCTTTTCAGCATTCTCTCGATGAAATGCCGCTTCACATCCTAGAAGCAAAGTTTTCAGCCATGAAAACCGAGGCCGACAAAAAAAAAAAGGTGTTGACGACTAAGATGGAAACAGGATGCGGTCTCACTGAAGAGGAGGAAGAGTGGCTCGATAATGGGGGAAACTTGATTGAAGAATTTGTGTTGATGGATCGGCTCAAAGAAATATCACCAAACAACCAGCACATAGCAATAAGCGCTACCGATATTGTGATTATCGAAAAAATCAATACTTACGAAATCGACAAACCTCAAGCAAAACCATCTAAGACGACCTCTTCGCCTCAACCCAAGAGTAAAACTGCTGTGGCCTCACCTATTGCCAAGAAAAAAACACCAGTAGCAACCCCCTCTGCAAAGAAGAAAGAGTCGGTTAAGGAGAAGTTGAATTTGAAGTCTGCATCCAAGGCATCCAGAAAACCAGTCCGTGCAACATTGGCCCAAAAACTAGAGGTACTCGACTGGCACCGGAAGAACGGCGAAAACCAGACAAAGACTGCACGGCACTTTGCTGAAATTTATCCTGAAATCGGCTTCAAACAGCCACTTGTCTCAGCTTGGGTCAAGGAAGAGGATAGGATTTGACAGCAAGCAGAAACTGTAGCTTCCCATTTCAAGCGGGTGAGGGTCACCCAGTTCCCACAGATTGAGCAGATGCTTGATCAATGGGTGACCCAAGCACTTCACAGTGGCTTGACGATCAACGGAGACGTGATTCGAGCAAAATGGCAGGAGTTTGCGAGCATGCAGAAGATACCTTCAGAAAAGTGGCTCACACGATCCAAGGCTCGCCATCATCTCCAGTCATTCAAAAAGCATGGCAAATCTGCACAGGCCGACAAGGAATCAATTGAAGGAGAGAAGAAGCGATTAGCTCAGCTTGTCAAGGAATTCCCTCGCAAGGACATTTGGAACATGGATGAGACTGGCCTTATGTATTCGTGAGTGCTTGTTGGATTTTATCATGAGATCCACAACTGACATTTGTGTTTTCCTTGCTCTAGGATGCCTCCTGATCGAGGTCTAGCCAAGGAAAAATCTAGTGGCTTGAAATCCAACAAAACTAGGATTACAATTGCGGTGGCGACAAACTCTGATGGCTCTGAAAAGCTACCTCTTCTCATAATCGGGAAATGGGCAAAGCCGAAGGCCTTCAATAAGAAATCTGGTGTTGCCCTTGGATTCGATTATCACTTCAACAAGCGGGCTTGGATGACCACAGAAATCTTCCATGACTGGCTCCATCGCTTCAATAGTCAGATGAAAAGTGAAAAGAGAAACATTCTTCTCTTAGTCGACAACTTTTCTGGACATTCTCTACCGGAAGGTGGTCTCTCAAACATTCAACTTGAGTTCTTTTCACCAAACTTGACTGCCCATGTCCAGCCGATGGATGCTGGGATAATTAAAGCCTTCAAGTCCCACTATAAGCAGCGGTTCATCTCAAAGTCAATTCAACGATACGATCAGGGTGTCCCAGTCACCCAAGTCTACAGTATCGATCAGTTAGCTGCCATGCATCTCAGTCGCTTGGCATGGCAATGTGTATCGGTGTAGTGTGCCAAATTTGTTTCAAGTACCAAATTGCATAAATTCATGATCCACTCTTGATAATAGGCTAGATTCTTGGTGTTATTATTACTTCAATAGATTCTACAGGTCATTTAACCCATAGTCACTCACTCAAACCACTAGGCTAGCTCCACTCAGTTAAAAGTTATTTGGATAAATCAGTTTTTTATTACAGAATAGTATAGTTGTCCTGGGTAGTACATAGTATAGATTTATATATAAGTGTATAGTTACAATCTTGTTTGTAGAGGCATATGTATGATCACATGTTTTAGTCACATGCATGATCACATGCTTGTATCACACATATTTTCACATGACATCACCAGCCACACGCTTGGATCACACGTATTTTCACAACAGACCAGCAAAAATGCCTCAACATAGAAAGAACATTCCGCAACACGTGTGATTTTCTGTATGGGACAGTGCAGATCACATGACACACCAGCAAAAATGGCTCAATAGAAGCTTCCAAGCAGCAAAAATCCCTCAAAGAAGAAGTCACACCAGCATAAATCCCTCACAGGATGTCCTCACTAGCTAAAATCCCTCACAATTTACTATATAAGGAGGTCATTTCTCCCTCCTCAGATCAGTTCCTCATGCCAATCCGGCACATCTACCAAGCTACACGCATCTCACCCAGAGTCTTCAAGTCAAATTAAGGTAAAATCCAACAGTGTGATCTCAATCAGGTGGCCGGTCAACATCTTTCATAGCTCAGGAAGCATAGAAGAAGTCAAGTAGCAAGTATCACCCCTTGTGCTCTTAACAAGTCAAAGTGATCTTAACCCATTTGTGCTCTTAACTGAAGGTTAAGGAGGAGGGCAAAGACACTTTGAACAGTTCATATTTTATCATCAGTTTTCTCTCAGTCTTTTCCATATCAACATTTACTTTACTTCACTCATTTAAACATATAAAAACATACAAAAATATTTCCCAGCTTTTCAAATCTTTCCATTATCTGATTCCAGCCTGCGGTAACCCACGCCAAATTCTTTCCACTCAAAATTCCACTAAGTCTCAGCTGATTTCACGTTGATCTAGTTTTGATAAGAGACTGCTACATATAGTTTTCTCCATCAACAGTTTTTGCCACACCAATAAAAATAAATTTGTTGTCAGAATTCTAGAGTAGTACATTAGAGGGGCAGGTCTTTCAAACCACCCGTAACAGTTGTAATAAATTCATACATACCTGAAATATCATAACTGCTATTTCCCCCTCGCAGGACTGCCATCCATCCCAGAGGAGTTCTCACATCGGCCAGTACAATCAAAAAGTGCTGGAACCATACTGGTATTTTCCCTGGTCACCCCACTGAGTCAGACAATTTCAAAATCAATAAAGCATTGGAGAAGCAAATTGATCGACTCCAATCAGTTGGTCTTCTGAAACCAGTCAACAGAATGTCAGTTTCCGAGCTCCTTAATCCAGCTGGCGAGTCCGAATATTCTGTGTGGACTACAGAGGAAATTTTCAAATCTGTCACAGACCAAAACACAGAAGAAGACCAGGACAACAATGAATCTAGCAAACCACCTCCGCGTCCCAAACCAACTGCTAAGGAGGTCTTCAAGGCGATCTCGCTCATCAATGACTACATCGAGAACGACACCACTGAAGTTGCTGATAAACTGAACCAGTCAATGGAAGCATACTCTAAACAACTCGTTGACCACCTGATTGCTACTGCTCAACAAACAAGCATCACATCATTTTTTCATCCCATGAACTCAAAATGATTTCTTCCTATTTCTTTTTCTATCTCTATACTTGTTTCCTCCTATCACCATTATGTCTGATTCATTCATAAACCACTTTACTTATTTCACAATGCAACCAAACCACTAGTCTGCTAAAAAAAGCAGAAAAGTCTCTCTTAACTCATGCAAACTATGGGTTAAGGGAGTCTTTACATCCATTAACCCATGTCATTCATGGGTAAATAGGGACACATCATTAACCCATGATATTATGGGACAATAGAGACTTTTACTCTTCACCCATGACTCTCTTAACCCATAGTAAAATGAGTCCACCAAGGGGTATGGGTTAAGAGGGAGGTGACTGTACTAGTCTTATAAGTTAATAAGGTAACTTATAAAGACTATTAATGAGATAAAGGAAAAAGGTACAACAAGTTTTATGTAGATAATATATTACTAAAAAACCCCACTCACTAATTATATGTTTTAGTGAGGTAGTTGGGTTGGTATGGTAATATTTGTCTGGGGGATGAATCTCAGGGGGAGAGACATCCTCTTAAATATTACAGAGCAGGGGCAAGAGAGGTAAATAGGATAATCATCTCTTGGATACACCCAGGAGATAATTATCCTTTTCAACTTGATTATAATTTTCATGAAAGAGGTAAATTAATAAAGAGGTGAATCTTTATTAATTTACAGAATAATTATTAACATAAAAAATACATGTAAAAAGGGATAACATTACTTTATAATTATTAACTTAAAGATTACATATAATAATAATTGTTATGTAACCCAAGGGGGTTACATTCTATTGTAGACACCTGGGCTAGTGTCTCAGTGTCTGACATTTGCCCCCACCAAAAGGAAAATTCCATCAGGAATTTTTTGATCTTTTGGTAGCTCTAAATCTTCTTAACAAGACTTGACAGTTGTCTATCTTTCCAGACTCTAGCCACAAGTCTTGATCAGGTTGACAATCTTTAAATCTTACTAATTACAACTTGCAGTCTTTTCCATTCTTTCTGACAATTTTTTCTTTCAATCTTCGCTGCAGTTTTTGGTATGGTCTCATCCGTCATGGGAGGAGCAATAGCTTCATTAGATGACCGGTCAAAACTACTATCTTGTACAATGTATTTTTTGCAAAGACTTATAGGAAAAGTAGGATGTCTTTGACTAAATTCTTCTGTTAAAATAACTTCAACAGAATTTCTACCGTGAAAGTCTTTAATAACAAATGGTCCTATGAAAGCATCCTTTAGTTTTCTAGGCCCCCCTAAGTTATTGAAATTTACTGTAGAGATAAGAACTAAGTCACCAATCTTCAAATTGTGGTCTCTATGAGTTTTATGCCACCTCTCCTTGTTATACTCAGCAGCTTCTTTTACGCAGAGAGCAGCTTTTTCTTCTGCTTGGAACATCATTGTTTGAAAGCATTCTGAACTGGGGTGCAATTCAATTGTCTTGGAAAGCAGAAAGTCCTTGGGCATATGAGGAACCCATCCCCTCTCAAGTTCAAAAGGAGTCATGCCCATGACAGAATGTTTACTGGAATTGTAAGCAAATTCTAGTGCTGGTAAAAGAGAAACCCAGTCATGAGTGTAACCATCACTAGTCTTGAAATCAATTCCGTACGCGCAATACCTTCTGATCATGTCTTCAAGAGTTTGGATCATTCTTTCTGCTAGCCCATCAGTTTGAGGGTGATAAGCTGTAGAGAAAGCTAACTTAGTGCCCAAAATTTCAAACAAATTTTGCCAAAAATCTGAGGTAAATTTTGGGTCTCTGTCACTGATGATGATCCGTGGACACCCAACATCACTGACAATATTATTCCAAAATATAAGTGCTATATCCATTGCACTACTATCTTTATAGCAAGGCAAGAATCTTGCTCTTTTGGAAAATCTATCACAGACTACTAACACAGCATTATAGTTTTCTGGTCCTGCTGCAGGAAGGGCTGTGACAAAGTCCATATTGATGATTTCCCATCTAGATTTTGGTTCTTCAATTGTTTGTAACAGGCCAAAGCGTTTTCCTGTAGCTTTATTGGCTTTTTGACACCTGTCGCAAGAATCACAGTAATCTGACACTTGATTTTTCCAATCTGGCCACCAAGCCAGACCCTGGACTCTATTCAGAGTCCTTTCTTTTGAAAAGTGGCCAGAAGTGATACTATCATGGCATTCATTCAAAATGATACTGATGTGACTGGGATCAATAAGCACTACTGAGGAGTTGTGTTCACGTCTGTGGTACAACAATTTGTCTAACAACACAAATCTGTTTTCTAAGAAATGCTTTTTCCAAATTCCTTCAAGTCCTTCAACTAGACCTTTATCTGGGTAAGGTGACTTAAGTAATTTGACTAAAATTACGGTGTTCTTGTTAGATTCATAGCTCTTTTCTATTAATTCCCAAAAGGATGATGACAATCCAGATATAGAAATAGCCATAATAGGATTCGTGTCAACAAAGGACTCTTTTTCAAAAGCTGGATTGTTTTCATCATTTGGCAAAGCCCAGTGTGCAAGACACTCAGACATCCTCATGTTAAAAGGCAAAATATCTAGAACTGGTGAACCTGTTTCAGCTTCTTCAGCATCATAAGCAGGATTACTAGGGTCATTTGCCAAAGCCCATCTAGAAAGTCCGTCTGCATTTTTATGCACTATGCCTTCTCTGTGAACAATTGTCATAGATCCTCTCCATTCTTGGATAGCAATTTGCCAACGGAGCATATGCCTATTGGGTGTCTTCATATTCAATAAAGACCTAAGTGCATTACAATCTGTGATGACATCAAACTCACAACCATCCAGATAGTAATACAGCTTATCCAAGGCCCACACTAGACAAAGACATTCAAGTTGAGAAGCACCGTACTTCTTCTCAGAATCTTTGAGTTGTCTTGAAATGAAACAAATTGGTCCTTCTACAGGTTTGTCATTGATGGTTTGTACTTGATGCAAAGCCGCACCAATACCCTCCATGCATGCATCAACATATAATTTAAACCTTTCTTTTGGATCAGGGTGAAAAAATAGGGGAGCATTTGTTAAAGCAAATTTAAGCGACTCATAAGCTTCAACTCTCTCAGCAGTCATTTCAAATACTACACTGGGGCTACAGAGTTTATAAAGACTAGAGGCCATTGATCCAAAATTCTTTATATGCAACCTATAGTATCCAGCAAAACCAAGGAACATTTGCATTTCCTTGACATTTTGAGGTGTAGGTTTGAGCAACACTGCTGCTACTCTATGTTTGTCAATTCCCAAAGACAAACCACTTACTATATGTCCCAAAGCTTTTAGCTCCGAAAATCCAAATTGGCACTTAGCCAGCGAAATTTTCATATTCATTTTGATGACTTTATCCAGTACTGTACTTAACCTACTTAAGTGGTCATTCCAATTATCTGAGAAAACAATAATGTCATCTATATAAATAATGAGCCACAATTGGCTTAGCTCATTTGCAAATTCTGTGTCCATCATCCTCTGAAAGATATTCATAAATACCAAGATTGCAGACTATTCTTAAGAATTTTCTACTATCTTTATGAATAACATTTTGATGGAATCCTTTGAGTACATCCATACAAGTAATATATTTTGCTTTATGTAATTTACTTAAAGATTCCATTATTTTAGGCATAGGGTACCTATCAGGATTAGTGTAGCTGTTCAAAGCTCTGAAGTCACCAACAAGTCTAGATTTATTATTGTGCCAAGCAATTATTACCGGAGTAGTAATATCCACATTTTCATTTGCACCTACCTTTCTAATGTCTTTCAGCTTAAGCAATGCCTCTATATGTTCGGCTAAAGCCTCTCTGCTTCTTGGACTAGCCGGATAAGGTGCTTTCCTTAAGACTGGTGGGTATGGTTTATCAATGTTCAGAGTCAACTTCACCTCATGACCTTTGATTGCGCCAAAGGGCTCTTCCACCGTAGCAAAAGCCTGTTTCTTGGAAAAGAGCAATTGAAAGAGTTGATCCTTTGCTTTGCTTGGCAGTTCAGGATTTATTCTTGAGCTATCTTTTACTTCCTGTAGAAATGAGGATTCAGAAGTATTTCCTGACGCAACTAATTTAGACTTATTGTTTCCAAATGTGTATTTGACATTATCAGAACCAATTTTAAAGTAGCTACCTTTATCATTCATAATAGAAATTTTAAAATGGCTTAAGTAATCATTCCCTAGAATGAAATAATTTACCAAGGCATTTTCAATGACTATAAATTCCACATGTAACTTGTGGTCTTTAAATTCTAGAATAACCTTGACTACACCTAGTGTAGTCAACTGGTCTGAGCAGCTATGGAATTTATCAGTAGTGGTAGAAATAATAAAGTTTTTCCACTCAGGAAAGAACTTAGTCAAATAGTTCATCCCCACTACTGACTTGAAAGCACCAGAATCTAGCAGTACGCTACACGGTTTGTGACAACAAGTCATTTGGACTATTCTATTACTGCCTGAAACAGGGGAGATGAAATAATCTACAGACGTAGTATTTACACACACAATGTCTGGATTATGATCTTGCTGCTCAGCATCACTTTCTGAATCAATACCAGCATCATTATTACTTTCATCACCAATAGCTGCAACCTTCTGAGCCTTCTTTGGACAATTTCTAGAGGTATGTCCTATTTTATCACAAGAATAACACTTAAGATCTGAATTTTGTTTGGACTCTTTACTCTTATCCAAACTATTGCCACTAGTGTATTGTTTGTTACCAAGGCCATAAGGTGGTCGTCTCTTACCTATATTGGTGTATTCTGTAATATCTTCTAAAGCATTAATTAATGAAGTCAGAGTTTGGCCATCTTTCATTGCATTTTGTGCTGCAAAGCTGACTTCTCCGTCCATTTGGGTCAGAAGCTTAAACATGAGGCTTTCATGGTTAGTTTGTGGCTCACATGCCATGATCCTTGTGTACTGTCTTGTGACCCAAGCTGCTGCTTGGGTACTCCCTGGCACAAATCTATCCTTCTGATAGTTAGTCAAAAGTT